TCTCTCTCTCCCTTTCTCTCTCTCCCCCTTTCTGCCTCTATCTGTCTCTGTCTCTGTCTCTCTCTCCCTGTCTCTATCTCTGTCTCTGTCTGTCTCTGTCTCTGTCTCTCTGTCTGTCTGTCTGTCTGTCTGTCTGTCTCTCTCTCTCTGTCTCTCTCTCTCTCTGTCCTTCCTATAAATCTATATAAATCTATCTATCTATAGGTCTCACCATGCAGTTTAGACTGGCCTTGCACTCACTATGTAGTCCAGAGTAGCTATGACTGCCCAGTGAGCCTCCTGCCTCAGCCTCCCCAGTGCTGGAATTACAGCTGTGCACCACCACACCTGGTTCTAGGTTTCTTATTGAAACTTCACTTTGTCAAAGTATTCTTATTTTCCTAATAGGATGCATGATCCCCAGAATTCTGTCCTGCTACTCAGAGATGTGGCAAAGAAGACAAGGACACAGACAAGAAAGCGACTGGGAAGTGTGATATGCAGGGGCCAGCTCACTGAGCTGCAAGGCAGTGGTTTTGATACCATGTCTGCCAGGTCCGTGTGAGTTGGGGAGAGCATCAGGACTTCCTGGGACTCTCGGTGTGAGACTGGTAGCGCCAGCTCTCCGGGCCTCTCCGTCTGCTCTTCTACATCCGGCTAGTCACTCCCCAGGAGCAGGAAATGAGACTTGCACTCAGCCTGCTCCGTCAACAACAGGAAGAGACAGGGACATGTGAGCCAATCCCAGACTCTATTCTTTGCACGGAAGTCACCACTTGCCCCTTGGGCCAGTTCAGAATCCCTGCTGTCAGAGTATCAGCAGGCATCAAAGATGTTCTCTTGCTCTGTCACTTCTATGGCTGACTTTTGCAAGCTTTGACCTCTCTCTGTGGCTCAGTTTTCCTACCTAAAAAAGGGGGCTTTATATTATTCTTTGACTTCAAACATCTCTGAATTGCTAGGAATACCAACTAAGACCAGAAGTGATTCAAATACCACTAGTAAGTGAGAGTGGTTTGAGTATTCCCTGCAGTGTTCATCCCAGAGCCATGAACAGATGAAGTAGTTGGTAAACATCAGTGGAAGTGTTTGGGGATGGTGGACCTATGGTCAAATATGAATGACCTTGAACAAGTGACCTCATTTCTCAGAGCTGCAAAGTCTTCCTATGTCAAAGCAGGATAATGATGGTGCCTGCCTCAGATGCCTGCTATGGGGATTAAATGTGAACAGAAGCATACAGTGATAACGTATATTATTAAAGTTAGCTTGTGAATCAAAAACGAGATAAGCCAAATAAAGTTGGTGTTTTTAGAGACCTCACTGTGGCAGATAGGATTCACCTCCAGTTGATTTGCAGGGTCGCCTAGAGAGCTGTGTAGGGGATTATAAAAAGCAAATCTACTCTCAGCAGGAAAAAAGGATTGATTATCAATGCCTGCCCTGGGTGGGAGGGGGGAATGGGGCAGCAGGGCCAGCTTGTGTGCTGTGCATATGCCAACCCTGAGTGCTTAGAGAGAAAGATGCCCAGCAAGGAACTCTGCTGTAGGTGAGCTGCTTGTGTGGGAAAGCAGAAGCAGAAGCCATTCCCCAAGCCTGAGGCATTCCAGCCTAGCTGGGAAAGAGAAGGGAAGGAGGGCCGAGGGAATAGCTTGTGCAAGTGCCCAATGCCTGATGCCTGGTGCAGTGTTTCTGGCTGCAGGGAACTGGCAATCCACACAAAAGGGGTCAGGCAAGAAGGGGCTTTATTACTGCTTGTAACAGGAAGTCCCAGGATGAGCACTTTCAGGGCTGGCTAACTGAGCAGCTGAATAGTGGATCAAGGATCTTCATTCTTTTGAACCTTGCTGGTGGTGTGAGCTGAATTGTGTGCCCCTCCCCTTTAATGTGTTCAAGGATTTAACTGTGTTCTGAGTACTTGAAAAGGGGTCCCTAGGAAGCCTGCATGATAGGCTAGTAGGAGGCAGCTGGGAGAATTTCATGGAAGCAGGCGGATGAGTTTGGAAAAGCTCAGTGGATCAGGTGGGACTTGTGGAGATGAGGCTCAGGAGATGCTAGGGGGCCGATTTGTGAAAAGTCTGCATCAAGCAAAAGGGTTGAACTTTACCCTGGAAATGCTGGGGAATCAGGGGGTTGTAGGCAGCTGAGTTAGACAGAAATATTACAGGCAGTCAGACAGGGCCAGGCCCTCAAGGAGACAGCGCGGAAGACAAGATACCTCGCAACTGTGAGAGAGACGGATGCTCCTGCTGTGAGTCAGACCTGAAGACCAAAGATCGAACACATGCTCACCTCCCTGAAGATAAGCATCTGAGATTGATCATCACCTTGAGGAAGCCAGGAAGAGTCACTAATCCAACTGCTACCAGCTACTGGATAGAGTCCTATTCCATATTCATGCCCACTTGCTACGTGACTCACTTCCCCATTTGGTCCTGGATTTGATCAATTTTACCTGGGCAATGGTGCTTGTAATCTCATTGGCTGACCAGTTTTGTCCCACCTCATGCCCACCTAAGAGAGTTCCCATGTTCTCCACCTTAGACCTGCCTCACCATGTGGTTTTTACTCTATAAAAATCCCTGGAAGAGACAGTTTCCCAAGGCAACCCACTCAGGTCCCCCTTCTATCCCTCTCTCAGACAGGAGCTTTCTTTCCCCCAATAAATATTTTGCTCTTAAGCTCCATTTGTTCCTAAAATTCATTCTTCAGTTTTAGAGAACACAAACTCATCCCAGGTACCTTTCAGGTCAGGAGTTTCATTTCCCTATATCTTTGTGTGTGTGTGTGTGTGTGTGTGTGTGGTGCCAGGGATCAAACTCAGAATCTCCTGTTTGCTA